TTTATGTATTAGATTGTAGGACTACGACCGGGCACTATATATGTATGAGATTGTAAGTATAGAATGCCCTCAAAAATTATGACCTGGCACTATATATGTATGGATTGTAAGACTACGACCAGGCACTATATATTTATGAGATTGTAAGACTACGACCAGGCACTATATATGTATGAGACTGTAAGACTACGATCGGGCACTATATATATATGAGACTGTAAGACTACGACCCGGCACTATATATGTATGAGACTGTAAGACTACGACCCGGCACTATATATATATGAGATTGTAAGACTACGACCGAGCACTATATATATATGAGACTGTAAGACTACGATCTGGCACTATATATGTATGAGATTGTAAGACTACGACCCGGCACTATATATATATGAGATTGTAAGACTAAGACCCGGCACTATATATGTATGAGATTGTAAGACTACGACAGAGCACTATATATATATGAGACTGTAAGACTACGATCGGGCATTATATATATATGAGACTGTAAGACTACGATCAGGCACTATATATATATGAGATTGTAAGACTACGACCGAGCACTATAAATGTATGAGACTGTAAGACTACGACCCGGCACTATATATATATGAGATTGTAAGACTATGACCGAGCACTATATATGTATGAGATTGTAAGACTACAACCCGGCACTATATATATATGAGACTGTAAGACTACGACCAGGCACTATATAATAATGAGATTGTAAGACTACGATCGGGCACTATATATGTATGAGATTGTAAGACTATGACCAGGCACTATATATATATGAGATTGTAAGACTATGACCAAGCACTATATATGTATGTGATTGTAAGACTACGACCGAGCACTATATATATATGAGATTGTAAGACTACGATTGGGCATTATATATGTATGAGACTGTAAGACTATACGACCAGGCACTATATATGTATGAGATTTTAAGACTACGACGCGGCACTATATATATATGAGACTGTAAGACTACGGCCAGGCACTATATAATAATGAGATTGTAAGACTACGATCGGGCACTATATATGTATGAGATTGTAAGACTCCGACCGAGCACTATAAATGTATGAGACTGTAAGACTACGACCCGGCACTATATATATATGAGACTGTAAGACTACGATCGGGCACTATATATGTATGAGATTGTAAGACTACGACCAAGCGCTATATATGTATGAGATTGTAAGACTACGACCAGGCACTATATATGTATGAGATTGTAAGACTACGAACGAGCACTATATATGTATGAGATTGTAAGTATAAAATGCCTTTATAGACTAGGACTGTTATATATGTGACCTTGAATTGGTTTTGTCTGTAGGTTGTCACCACCCCAAGTATGGCAGTCAGTCATATCATGTTGGAGGCCTATAAAAAGTATATCCTCACTGCTCTTATTTTACATGGAAAAGTAAGTAATACTTCACTATACAAGGAAGACATTATGCTACAAGAGGTTTTGTGATTGTCATTGTTTTTAAATAGTTAAGTTTCTATTAATAAAGTTATGTTAGTGAGTTTATACTGTTGTGTAAATGTCAACATTTATAGATGTTAATGAGTTTATACTGCTGTGTAAATGACAGAACTTATAGATGTTAGCGAGTTTATATTGTTATATAAATTTCAGCACTTATAGATCTATGTTAATGAGTTTATACTGTTATGTAAATGTCAGCACTTTTAGATGTTAATAAGTTTATACTGTTATGTAAATGACAGAACTTATAGATGTTAATAAGTTTATACTGTTATGTAAATGTCAGACCTTATAGATCTTAATGAGTTTATACTGCTGTGTAAATGTCAGCACTTATAGATGTTAGTGAGTTTATACTGTTATGTAAATGTCAGAA